CTGCTGAATCCATTCTTGTGAGCCCCCAGGAGACAAAGTGATGAGAAATCTGCTCTCCAAACATTGTAGAGAGTAGAATTCTTGTCAATTTGAATCCCCTACCAATACAGAGGAACAAAGCTGCTGGGAGAATGGAGGAGGAATGGCATAATATCAGAAAAGTGTTCATTTCTGTTTCACTTAGGTCAGGCCTTTGACTTATAACACCCTGTTTTGGAGGGAAGTAATAGCAAAATAAATGGAGAAAATCTCTTAAACCCAATGGGAATATATTTACTAAGACATCTGAAATCATCCTTTTCAAAGGATAAGAGTTTAGATTTTAAGGAACTCTTATTACTTTATTATGCAGTGTTTAAGACAGGGTAACTTCCAGGTCCAGTAGGAATTAAAATCAATTTTCCTGGAGGAATGTGTAATTTATTTTATTTGATATTTAGTACTGCACTGCCTATATAATTAAGGATCCACTCCTGTCTTGCTAACTCAAGCAAGGCTTCCATTAATTTCAGTCTTATTAAACTGTATTATGCTGCATGTACTGGAGAATGTTGCTCATGTATATTTGAAGACTGCGTTATTAGTAAAGGCTTATGGGAAAACATAGTACAGTGTGCTTACAGAACAAATTATTCTCATTTTATCCTTCTGCTGTTTCTTCACGTCCCTCCCCTCCCCCCCGCCCTCCCCATCCATGTGTTTCACTATATTTTTGCTTTTTTCCACATAGGCAAGAGCTTTGCTACAGACTGCTTCATCTTTAGCACCTCATATGTATGAGCCCCATTTTAATTTTGCAACACTCTCTGATAAGGTAACATGCTATTTTATTCTTCTGTTATCTAAAAGCTGAACAAATCTTGGTTTTCATGCAACAAGATTCCAAAGAGGTAGAGAAAGAAACACAAACTGTCTAACTGTTAGATAAAACTGGTATGTCTATACTGTAACAGAGAGGGACTTTGAACTGAGAGTGTCATTCAAAGCTTTCTTTTGAGCATGTTTGTTTTACAGATACTTTAATAATTCCATTAATGTTGCATAAGCTTAGTGAAACACAAATATTTCATTTTTTAAAATCATTTAATGTATTAAGTAATGTTAATTATTTAGGTTACTGGCTAGCAAGTCTTGCCACTCTGCTCAGGGTCAGATCAATTACCATATTTGGGGTCTGGAAGGAATTTTACCTTCTGGACAGACTGGTATGGACTGTGGGGGTTTTTGCCTTCCTTTGTAGTGGGGGGCACAGCCTCTGCGTAGGATCTCTTGAGCTTATATTGACAACGTTTCACAGAAGTAAAAACATCAGCTGCTGTGGCTCCCCCACTATACCTGTGGCAGGTTAGGGTGTTAGGCCTGTGTTGTGTCAGGGTTGATGGTAGCCTTATGTAGAGTTTAGATTATGGTTTTTACGGGATGGTTTGATTAGGGATAATTGTGCCTCAGACCAGGGGTTGGACTAGACCTCTGGAGGTCCCCTCCAGCCCTACTTCTCTGATTCTATGATTTGTGCCACATTTTATTGAATAGAAGAGTATTCTGTTTTTAAGCTTGCATGCCTTTGAATGTTGCTTTTTACCTTCTGTCATAGGAGGCATTTCAGTTACTGAATTGAAAGATAAATTGGCAAAAGGTTGTTAGAAGAGAGAGACTACGGCACAGACTACGGGCACAGACACTCATAATATTTGAAAGATTTCAGTGTGATGGGGCTTTAAAATTTTCAGAAATAGAACGTTTCAGCTGTGGACAGACATACAGCCCTTGCTGTAACCCTCCCAGCACACTTGAAAACCATTGTGCCAGTGTGTAGCAATGGTGCTCTCCAGCCAGGGACTGCAGTACGTGGATGGCCGGGCCTATGGCTCTGCTTCCCTACTCATCAATCAGTACTGCTGGCACTGTTACAGCCAGACTGCTGTGAAACTAGGGGCAGTGGGGGACCACTGCATTGTGGGATGCCTAGAGGACCAACCTAAAGCACACACAGGTGTCGCGGTGGATGTAGTTTTTCTGGACTTCAGCAAGGCCTTTGACACTGTCTCCCACCCCATTCTCATCAGAAAACTAAGTGACTGTGGCATTGATGCCTACACAGTCAGATGGATTGGAAATTGGCTGAAGGGTCTTACTCAGAGGGTGGTGGTGGATGGGTCTTTTTCAACCTGGAGGGAAGTGGGCAGTGGAGTCCCCCAGGGCTCAGTCCTTGGGCCCACACTGTTCAATTTCTTTATTAGTGACTTGGACGATGGGGTAAAAAGCAACCTGTTTAAATTTGCTGATGATACCAAGATTTGGGGTGAGGTGGGCACGCTAGTAGGAAAAGATAGATTACAGCAGGACCTGGACAGGTTACAGGGGTGGGCTAACAAAAATAGGATGGGTTTCAATACTGACAAGTGCTACACTTGGGCAGTGGGAAACAGAGGAGGCTTGAAGTCTACCTGGCTGGGGTCATTTGAGCCCGGTTTTCTCTCCTGCCTAGGGCAGGGGGTCAGACTTGATGATCTACAAGGTCCCTTCCAACCCTACTTCTATGAAGCTACACATGTTCCAAAATGAAATAGTACAAAGTAGTACCTGGAGGCAGCAGGTACATTTTTGCCATGCTTCAGAGCCTTTTATTGGGCACATGTGTCTGTATGATAGCCATTTAAAACATTTTAAATGTTATGTCTGTCCACAGCCAGAGAACTGTTCTCTATTGAAAAGTTTCCAGATACAACATTTATGTTATGGGTTAAGTTTAGGAGACAGACAACAGCATGAACTCAGCCTGAGAACTCGGACTTCTGTCAAACTCAAGTCCAAAATCTATGACATCCTCAGTAGCATTAAAAATAGCAGCTTGTGTAGGTCCTCGAGTTTTGTAAGGTATTTCTTTGCCTTGGCTACCTCCTTGTAAATTTAGATACAAGGCTATACTCTTTAGTAAGTGCTGGGCTGCCCAATGTTAGAGGCTTATGTATAAGTATCAAAGTAAAAATAACCCCCTAATTATTAAATATACCCTCTCCAGTGTGAAGCACAAGGTGAAGTGTAAAAATGGGTGCCTACAGACATGCTCATTAGCGTTTTAATTAGAACACTCCAGCATCACATGTATTAAGCCCGCTGTGTTTCAAAATGACCGCAGGGGTGCTTTAACTAAAGCTTGTTGGTGAGCCTTTTAATTAGAGTGGCGATTTGGGAACCTTTCTAATGAAAACACCCCCCTTACCTCCCCACCTCCGAGCACGTGTATAAAATCGGATTGCTAATCCCAAATAACCAATTTAAAACAATGGTTTACAAATAGTCCCAGGCTCTCTAACCAGGACCCTGGTCATCTGATCTCAAATTCTCCCTCCAGAAACCTTTCTGAAGAAATTGTCATGGCGCTGTGTTGTGTGGTATGGAAATGACATGGAAGTCTCCTGCTGCACTGTGTCCCTTTCCATCCAATAACCCTCACTTGCATTAGTGTGTAGGCCTCTCTCATTTTATTTTTTCAGCCTTGGGATCACATTCATATACATTTGTGGGAGAAGCATCATGACCAAAATATATAGTGCTCAGAGACTATGCAATAAATACTGCAATGGTTGTGTCTAGACAGTTCACGTATGTGTTTCTTGCAGGTTGGGGATCTCCAGAGGAGTTATGTAGCCGCTCAGAAGTCAAAAGAAGCATTTCCAGATCATGTAGATACACAACTGCTCATCAAACAGTTAGAACAGCATTTTGCCATGCTTTGACTCAGTGTTTTTAATCAAGTTAAAAGCTCAAATGATTTCCACTAGAACTAGCACCAAACATGTTTACAACATGATATCTAAGAATTATACATGGGCATCTTTTTAATCCAGGAGCCATAGAAACTAGTACAGGTAGCAGAAGAGGTTTAGGGAATTGTGAACTGACTTGTATGAATTTTAAATTACTTAATTTTTTAATATGGCTCAGACACACTTTGTAAAATGAGAGTAAAGAATAAGATCTTGCATTGAAAGAGCTATTGCATAGTAATGAATTGACCCTTTAATATTAAGGAAGCATTTTAAAATAATTTTTTCCAGACTGTTTTGCAAGTAAACCAGGTTTTTAATATTCCTGGTTGACAGTCCATCAACCAACATGAAGCAAAAAATGTTTCATAATTGCCTTGCAAGCTTGGTTTTTGATACCATATGTTCATATGTTGTTTTTAATATTAAAATATACAAATTAAGTTATTAATGTAATTTATATATAAAATGCACACTTGAAGCAAAAAAAACCCAAAATATAGATTTTCCTTGATGTACATTTGGTGTAAAATAAATTCAAATCTGTACAATTATATTGTCTCTAGCATTATGAAGATGGCTTCACATGTTCTGATCTGTATTTTCTGAGAAACAAAGAATATCAATACCAACTATACTGGGTGTCTTAAATATTAAATATTAAAATGTGTATATTCTTGCTATACTGTTAACTTTAATAAGAGTGAAAATGCTTAGAACAAATTGAATAGGGTCTACAGTAATATTGTAATATACCATGAAGGGAACAGAAGCTTGAGTGTTTAGCAGTGTCCCCATAAGCAAGATGAGTAGAACGTTTTAGTGACATTAGAGCATCTTTTAATGAGAAGAATACTAAGTACCCATATGATATGCTACCTCTTCTTGCTGCATCTTTAAGTAATCTTGCTGATCTCCAACTGGCTGCCAGCAATTTTATTTTTGTCACATCTAAAGCTGAAGGGTCTCCCTTTCCATTTAGGTTTTTGAAAGGGGCCAATTATTGAAAACTGCAGGAAACAATTTAATAGCTTGCAATTTTTTCTTCCTTTGTTTTCTCTTTTATCCAAGTCTACTTCTGACAGTAATGACTGATTCCTCTGGTATTCCACTTCTATAATTTCTTATGAATTAATTTTCCCATATAGCCCAACTGGGAGTTTTGATTTGAGAGGCAGAGTCTGTCCTATATTAAATCTCTGGGGAAAATGTGGAAAATTAAATTAGTTAACAAAGCCTTAGCTTTTTGTGTTAAAGAAACCCCATCAATTGCAGAAGGGAATTTGTGATTGTACATGCACAGAGCAAGCCTGTTTGGGTATGTATAAAATGTGCACTTTAGCCACTTCAAAAGCAATGTGGGGCTGCTGTTTGGGAGTATACAGCAGCTGTAACAACAATCTGTCACACCTGCATGAGCCTGTATTGATACAAGTTTGCTAAATTGGAATTCTAAAAGTAATAACTGTTAGTACATAAGTAATTCTAACTGTTATTGCTGAAGCTTACTTTATCTCTTCTCAGGGCCATGTCATAACTTCACTTGAAGCTGAGTTCTACGCCCAGCACTTTAGCGTGGAATTTTGCTTAAGAACTGATGGCATAGTAGAGCCCTCAGGCAGTCTCAAACAAGTTCGTGTGGCTTATAAATTGCATGACAACAGCTAGGTAGGTCACACTATCCCTTTGTTCTCATGAGTGGTAGGAACTTCTTTTACCTGGCATTGAGGAGTTTGTACTACTCGTCAACATTTTTAATTGATATTCAGTTTAAAGATGGTTCTCTGATAAAGCACTTTCTAAAGCAGCTTGTCTTGAAATGTGTTTTTAAACACAAATATTTTTCTGCTCCTTTTAGGTGTTTAAAACACTCCTTTGGAAACAAAACAATTGGGCAAATTGCACAAACACAACTAGCAAAGTAAGAATGAATCACAAATGAAGGAGAGGCTATCTGCAAGAATAGAAGGCACAGCATTTACAGAGGAAAAGTTTTTTTCCAAGTTGCTCTTTACATTGTCAGATAATTTGTGGAAAAGTTGAGAGAGAAACTAGGATGCCAAAAGATTCCACTTTCTGCTGAAAAGAGAAAGAGAAAGGTCAGTATAGCAGTACATTTTTGGTCTGCAATGCTGAATTAAGGGAATTATCAGACTTCTTGTCAATTTTTTGACAGGCGTGTTTATTCCAAGCTTAGTACTCCTGAAACATTTTAGACCTCATTTCCATATTTTTAAATGCTTATAAGAAGTTTAAATGACTTACCTGAAATTGGATGGAAACAGGTAACAGTACTTCATCCACAAGTTTTATATTTAACTATTGTATTATCAACTTAATAGACTATTTGGGATAGTGAAATAATCCCAAATATTTCGACCCCTTCTACATGTTGCATCTATTATGTAATTACCTTGTTAATTGCACAGTAACTTTAGACTGGCTATAAGTGCAAATGAACTATGGTGCCTTAAAAAGCTCCAACCAGCTATAAAGATTTTGTTTAAAAATGTGTAATAACTTTATAGCTGGTTTCTATCCTGCTTTGATTTGCATGTGTAGGCAGTCTGCAGCCAGGAGACTGCAGTTGCTGCAATCTCCCAGCCACTGGGGAGTACAACGCATCCCCAAGGCTGGGAGATCTCAGTTGCTGTGATCTCCCACGTATGGGTGTACTGCAGGCAGTGGCTGGGAGATGGTAGCGAATACAATCTCACAACCATTGCAGTTTCCCAGACACAGGGTACTACATGCAGCCTCGGGGCTGGAAGATTGCAGCAGCGCCCTATGGCTGTTGGAGCCAAGAGTGCCACAGTTGATAGGACTCTCAATCCCGGCTGTGCCACACAGGTCAGCAGTGGGACTCTTTGCTGGTCCCTGTGGCTGGGAGCCTCCTCAGAAGAAGGGTTCTCAGCAGTGGGAGCCTGCTTCTTGCCAATACAGGGGGAGCCCAGGATCAGGCTCCTCCTACACAGCAGTAAGGCATTATGGGATCTAATGTGTGATCCCACCATCATGCCTCCTGCCTTAAATGTGTGGCATGGCAGGAGGTACACAATTGTGTACATTGCACATTAGATCCCATCATGTGTGCACTGCACATGATCCCATACCTGCATGGGTAGATGGGGCCTTATAGTCACAGTTTGACTTGAGTATGTATGTATATGTATGTGTGTAGATGTGTACACATGTGTGTGTGTGTGTGTGTGTGTGTGCTACACACACACACACTTCAGTTATTTTAGGAGGTATCATTTAATTAAAATATGGCTATATAGTTCTGACTTGGGCACTTAAAAGGTGTTAATCCTTAATGTGCAGCATCTAGAAGCTACTCCACATTTATCTTGCAGGCTGCATTCAGATATTGCTTGCTCAAAAGGCAATAGCTATTTGTCTTGATGACCTTTCATGCTCCCCAAAAAGTGTATCCTAATAGTTGCTCATGACTAGCATACACTCTAATTAAATCTAACATGGTAATGAGAACAAAGCCACAATTAAAACAGCAGCTGACTTGGCATTCTGTTAGTTGTGGAAGAATGTTCAGATTTTGGTTTATGTTAATTTGGTGCGAGCTCCAACGAGCAGGCAATCAGGCTCCAGGGCAAACTGCCTTCAATTAATTTAGTATGACATAGCATAACTTAATGCATCAGAAACTATCCATCTCTGTGGGAGAATCATGTTAGGATGATGTGACCTTAGTACTGTAAGCAGTAGTTCCATAACATCACAGTTTCATAGATTTCATAGACATCAGGGCTGGAAGGGACCTCGGAAGATCATCGAGTCCAGCCCCCTGCCCAAAGGGCAGGAAGTCAGCTGGGGTCATAGGATCCCTGCAAGATAAGCATCCAGTTTCATCTTGAAGGTGTTCAATGAAGGCGCTTGAACCACCTCCGGTGGCAGGCTGTTCCAGACCTTGGGGGCTCGGACAGTAAAGAAATTCTTCCTTATGTCCAGCCTGAAACGATCTTGAAGTAGTTTGTGACCATTCAACCTCGTCATCCCTTGGGGCGCTCTGGTGAACAAACGTTCACCAGAGTTGTTCAGTTGTTTATCCTCTCACCTGTAGCATGGCTCCAGCCAGTACAGTACCTGCAAGCTTTCTGAGAAAGAATAAAGTACAGTTATTTTTTGTCCAATGGGAAGACGGCATCCCAGAAGGTGCTGTTTTTCAAGATGATGCTTCCTAGAAGGATGCCTGAGGCATCATTACTAATGCTATACAAACTAAAACATCAGATCACCAGGAGGTCTCAAATGCTTTTACAGGCAAGGAATACACAATCAATCATATTTCATCAAGTTAACAGAGTGCAGGGACTAACTGACACAATAAATGTTCTATTTCTCTGCTTGGTAAATGAAGGTTAAACCACAGCAGCTTAACCCAGCCCCCAAACAAAATGAGGCTAAATTGCTCAGCTTTAGCTTCTGCTTACGATGGGGTAGGAGATGTTACCTGGATAGTTATTTTACATCTGCTGCTCCACAGTAAGTCCCCACTCATGTCAGCTCTGCCATTTGATTAGTTCTCTAAGGCTTTAGACATGTGCCCAGGTCAGAGCTGCTCAGCCCATGATTATACCTCAAATTCCAGTCAGCCTCTAAAATAACCTTATACTGAATTATTGGAGAATTCAAAGGGGAGATGCTATTTAAAAGCTGACCGTGTTTGGGATGATGGAAGTGTTGGAATTTTAACAATGGTGCAAACCACAATGGTAGCTAAAGTCATCAAAGCCTACAGCTGTTCTTTTGGGACGTAATTTGACTACACAAGAGGTTTCAGCAGTCACAAGGCACTGCAGGAGTGATTTACTATTTAGGTATAGAGCAAGAGACCAGATACTGATCCCATTTCCTTTATCCATAGATTCCTGAATCTTTAACCCAGAAACAGAACTCTTACACTGCCTGCATAGCACAGGCCTCAGAATGTCATTCAGTCCTACCTTTAATAACACCAATGCATTTGACTACAGCAGATCTTCCAGAGAGGCATCCATTCTCAATGTCAAGGAAAAAGAACCTATTATTTTCCCTTGGTCATTTGTTAGTCATCCTCACTGTTGAAGATTTGTGCCTTCTAATTTGAGTTCACCAGGCTTCAGCATTCAGCCACTGGCTCTTTTGTTTTTCCTCTAGTACTGCTTATGTATCTTGTCAATACCCTCTTTCATATGCCCACAAGATCCATGCGTTTCCTACTCATGCCAAGAATTATATTATATTACCCATACACTGGAGTCTTCTTGGAATCATATAAACATAGATCTCTTTATAAAGAGAGCAAACAGATGCTTGGTCTTCTCTTCCATCCATTTTTCTTTTAGATGTATCCCATCTTTATATCCTAGTGGTTTCATTTCCCCTGCTCATTCCAACAACACATTCTCATTTTAGTTTTGTTTTTGTTTTTTATCTTAAGGTAAGAATGAGAGGCTCTCAAAAGTACCTTCTGGCTGGGAAGTGTCCCATTCAGGAGTACATGTCAGGTTCCACACTCTAGTAAAGTTTTAAATGAAGTCATGTTCCATATCTAATGCCAGCATATCTATGGTAGGATACCTATGACAGCATCTATAACACAGCAGGTATGACATTTGTCACTGCTGAGCCAGATATCC